AGATTAGAGAAACCCTAATAATTCAGTTCAAGACTTCAAGATTACAAAGCATAATATAAGAGTATTTACAGATGAAAAAGAAGATCAAATCAACTTAATTTGATGATGATCTATGACTAAAGCCACCAGTTTTCATCATCTGAAGAAACTCCTTGTAATTGACTCTACCATCTCCATCTTCATCAACTTGCATAATCATCTCTTTACAACAATCTAGGGTTTTACCTTGCTTGAGTCCTAAGGAAGCCATCACAGATTTCAACTCCTCAACAGTGATAAACCCATCACCGTCTTGATCAAACACATTGAACGCATCTCTCATATCCTCTTCCTCTTTTTCTTCGATAATCGAACCGTAAAGAGACTCAAACTCGTTGATGTCTACACAACCATCTCCGTTTGCATCCATCTTCTTGATCATCTGGATCAGATCTTTATCTGGCATGAAGATTCCTAGATTCTCTAGTGAATCGTTTAGCTCTTCCTTTGTGATGCGTCCATCTCCGTTCTTGTCGAACATCTGAAACACTTGTTTTAGATCCACCGGATCATCTGTTCTCGCAGGAGATTCAGATTCAGATTTAGACGATGGTGTGTTCTTGTCGTCGATGTACCAAGAAGGAGGGAAGAGAACTCTAAGCTTCTTTGGGACCAAACAGAGAAGAAAAGAGTTAAAGAGGTTGTAGAGAAGAAATACTCTCACCATAACTACACTTAGTTTTGTTGAGGAAGAGAAAAAAAACAGAGCTTTGATGTTCTGTGAGAAACTTGAAATGAAAATTGTATCCGATCATTTTTTATAGAGGTGGAGAGTGAGATGTAATGCAATCAATATTAATAATTTGGAGAAATCTTTTTCTTATATATAAAATCTTTTTTTTTCTGGTACAACTTTTGATTCCATTGATTAACCTAGACGTTACCTCTTTGCTTTTATTTTAACTGTTTTTGGAAGAGTTTAGACAAGGAAAGATTTGAATAATACAAAATCCAGAATTTCCAAGACTGTGATAAAGTTAAATAAACGTGATGGTTACTTTAACACTATAGAGCAAAGACTCTGAAGTCTCTCTAAATTAAATACAAACACTAGCCACGGACTTTTGATGATATAAAGGAATTATATTTATAACACCATTTCACCTTATTTTTGTGTCGTTATTTTTTTTTATTATGCTATCAATCTAAAAGTGAAAGTGGCTTATTAAGGTGGAGTTTTCATAGTCCATAAACAAATAATATAATAATAGTGAAAAAAGACAAGGTAAGTCGTTGGGAGTTTTTTGTTTCTTTTAAATATAGAACTTGGAGAATACGCGTAAAGAAGGTAGTGGGTTTCAAAATGAAATGTATTTCGATTCAGTATTCAAAATATATAAATGATCAATATAACAAAACCCGTTGTTATAATCGTTGATGTTTGGTTCTTGTCCCTATTTATTATTAATTGTTGCATTAAAACATGAGTATTAGTGCATTAGCACATGTCACCAACGAGACAATGACGCTCGTTAGAATATGACCATTACCATTAGTCATATGAATTGTGGAAGTTGGAACAAATAAAAGTATAAAGTTTTTTTTAAAAAAAATTGTCTTTTTATAAAGTTAACGTTAGTATAAAAGTTAACGTAGAAAAAATTGTCGGACGAAACGAATGCAAACAAATGCAGTGGAACAAATTTTGAATAATATAGTATCCTATGACCGTGGGTGTTTTGGTTTTAAAAATTTATTGGTTTTAAAAATTTATTAGATTTAGAGATAAACAATTTGATTACCTAATAAATTATTATTTATGTTTAACAAAACCAACCAATTATTTGTAAATACAAAATAATAATTGATTTGAAATATAATTAGTTGTTTCTCTTATTTGAATTGTATGAATATGAAAACAACCATTTTGATTTGGATGGTTACTATTTGAAAATAAATATGTTTGTTTAAAATTTTGTTAGATGTTTTTTAAATAATTAAATATTTTTTTATAATAAAATAATTATTTATTATTCATTCTTTTTTATAGTATAACTACTTTTTAATTTTTTTTTATTTCTATATATTTGTTTTTTGTAATTTTATATATAAAGATTAGATTTATTTTTTGATGTACTTCAGTTAACTACAAAATATGTGTATTTAATCGACAAAAAGTATGTTGGGATATAGTAGCCCATGATGAGTGTAAAAAAATTTTTTTAATCATCGATTCTATTTTATATATGAATCAATAATTTTCTATATACTGTATAAAAGAAAAAGACGGTTGATTAATAAAATTGAATGGAAATTAATATTAACTTAAGTGACTTGTATATTGTGAGTTAATACAAATGTAAAGTAAAGTTTGTAGATTATGCTAAAAATATAAATTGACATTAATTTTATATATACATGGTCATTAAATATTTAATTAATTACCACCACTAAAAGTCTAAAACTATTTAATATAAATAAATTTGAATTTATTTTGATTTTTAAAAAGTGGAATATATGTCAAAAGTATAGTTGCCACATGGCAACCTCTCATACATTTGATTTTGAAGAATTTTAAAATATTATATAAGATAACACTACGAAATCTTTACTATGAAACACGACATAAACATTTCTTGATCATTCATTTTTGTTTTATTTTACGGAATAGTGAAAAAAATCAACAACTAAAATTTTAAAGTGCAACAACAATCACCAACGTTGATAGCATCTCTTCTCCAACTGCCACAATCACTACATCATCATTTTGCCTTCCTTCTGATTTGGTAACTATCTCAACTCCTCCTCTAGCAGGTTCATCTCATGAAGTTGTACAAAGAAATGTTTTTGGTAGCAATCAATTTGCTACCTTGGACTTAGGAAATTATTCGGGTTATATATGATCAGTTGAGTGTCGTCTCTCAAATGACCCGAGGAAGAAGACCAATCAAACCAACGCAAAAAGTCCAGGAGATGTAGTGGACAACGGTGAGTGGACGAGGCAATCGGGGACGTGGTGGTCGAGGCGGCCGCGGATCATCAAATTAGAAGTCTGTAAAGACTTTTCTTCTGTAGATATATTCTCATCTCTTTAAATTTTATTTCATTTTTGTATTCTTTTTCTGTTTAGAAAACTTTTTCAACTTATATGATGATGTTAAAGTCATATCATTGTAACCGTTACTTTTGCTTTTAATTTAAAAATCGTTTATAAAAAAAAAACAATTAAAAAAGAAATCCGTAAACTTCGTGTAAGTGGGTATTAATTCGATTAATTTATAATTTTGGAATAAAGTACTACTTAAATACTCTGTAGACTCTCACGGTGTGTGTATAAACTTGTAATGAGATCCAATGACACTTGACTAATTTTATGTGAGCGTACTCGCGTCATGGTTGTCTTCCAGCTCATCTAAACACTACTACTACTCATGCATGATCCTTAATTACAATTATTATTTTAGTAATTACATTTGTTAAATCTCCACATCTAATTAATTGTTGAAACAACATTGAGATATAATGAAAAGTGAATTATACTCAATACTTTACAAGTTTTCTTTCCTTATATGTTTTGACATATTATGTTCAAGAATTATATTGTTGGTACATATTCGAAACGTTATATCAAAATTTAAGAAAATAACTATAAAAGGAATAATTATGGACATTTTATATGAAAATCTTATTTAAAAACCATGAATTTTAGTAACTAAATGGGCTTGAAAAAATAAACGGGCTTAAAATAGGCCCATATATCCATAACTAAAAGAATTTGGAGTGAGATTATTCATGTCCACATTTGAAGACACAGCTCCTCATAAGTGGGCTCGTTCTTGTCTCCTTCGTTCGCTGCAGATTTCGAAATCGGTACTTTCATTATTTTTTTTTCCAGATTTTTCCTCACATTTTCTCAGCAAAATTCCCGGAAAAAGCACCCCGATCAACAGGTAATACCACCACTCCATTAAAGCTTTCTTTCTCCACGAATTCTTCTCCATGCGCTTTTTCGATCTAAATTTCGATTAGTGTTTAGTCTCTTAGGTTTTTGTTGTTCTGTAACAGTAAAGCGTTCTCTTTTGACAAATCTCTCTCTTTTTCTATCTCTTGCAGCTAAAAACTAGTTCTTTCGATGTACTTTGCGGAAATCG